GAGAGAGAGAGAGAGAGAGAGAGAGAGAGAGAGAGAGAGAGAGAGAGGTGATGTGCACCCATGTTTATCCTTCAAAACCAACCAAGATTGTTGATAGTGTAGGAAAAAAAAATCCCTCAGTACAGAGGCAGCCCACTGTGGTCCCTTGTTGACAGAGATGATTATCTACTGCCATTGAGGTTTTGAGTCTCTGAAAACAAAGGGTTTCACACCTGCCCTTATGCTCCCAGGTGGAGTCCACTTCAAATACCTTTTCCCACTCCTGATTCTTTACAGACCTACTTGTTTTCTTTAAGTGTGAACCTGCCTATGATTATCTGAATTCAGATATAATTGCTGCCCTACATAAATTCCACAGAGGCTTACCAAGAAGCAAAGAAGGACTCTGTGGGCCAGGGTTATTCCACCTGTGGCCTGTTAAACCCAAGAAAATTATAAACCATCACCCCACCCTGGTAGACCTTATAGCCAGTGTTCTGCAGTGATCCCAATACTATTTGAGTAAGAAACACAGCATCCCTCTCTGTCTTCTCATGGACAACCCTCAAATTTCATTCTGAGAAGCTGTAATTACTTAGATAAAAGGAGGACAAACACGCTGTAACTTTAGATGTGTTTATGTGATGTGCATATTATTGTGGTGGTTGATTGACACCCCCAGTCCAATGCTATGGGCGCCAGGTTAGGCTGCTAGCATTTCACACTGCTTGTGGTAGACAGTAAATGTTCCTACCATCCAGTTTGCTTTAATGGTATACCTAAGTCCGGCTGTTGCCCTTAGCTTCTCCAGTCAGCAACCTGAATTTGGGTCAAGTTTTCTCCAATTTGCAAACAGTTTGCTTGTTTGTTTGTTTGTTTGTTTGTTTTTGAGACACTGTTTCTCTGTTAACCCTGGTTGTCCTGGAACTAGCTCTATAGACCAGGCTGGCCTCAAACTCAGAGATCCACATCTCTGCCCCCCTTGTGCTGGGATTAAAGGGATGGGCCACCACCATCTGGCTTATCAATCAAAGGCTCTTAATTATTGGCAGCCTGTGACTTTGAGTCAAGTGATAGGAAAAAGGCCCTGGAATCCAATTGCATCAAGATAAAGCAATTTAAATGTAAATCCCCGTGTTTCTTTCATAGTGCCCCCCTGCATCACACACACACACACACACACAGAGAGAGAGAGAGAGAGAGAGAGAGAGAGAGAGAGAGACGCAATTGCTTCAAGCAAATAAACTAATTATCTAAGTTTCAGAAGTGCTGATCTTTAGATAAAGGTGATCGGCTGACTATTGGCCTCACTCCCCACTCTCCTGGCCAGTACTACATCAAGTTGATATAAGAATCTCTACTAGAGGCTCATCAGCACCGTTTACAAGGCAAAGAAACCCAAGAACAAGTAGAATTGGAAATACAGTTTAGTTACTAATAGAGCTGATTGGCTGCTTTCAAAAACAGACTTAATCTAGTACAAAGGCCTTTTATCCTTAAGACCGGAGAGGTACAAGGTGGATAAGAGTGCACCACCACTGTGTCATCTAAACCCATCTTAAGTTATCTGTTTATCCTTTTGTCTAAATGATTACAGCTACCATAAATAAAGTGACACATGAATATAGTTCATAAGGGAAAAAAATAGAAACGAGAAGCTGTGTTTCTTAGAATAAAGTGCCATTTAACCCTTGCTCCCTAATCACAGAGAGGAGAGAATGGAGGAAAACGGCAGCAGCCTGTGGCAGCTGATCTGTCTGAGCATGAACGCTAGTTTAGAGACTCCCGAAGGAAGGTGATATTTAAGCAAAGCATAATGAAATCATGGCTTTCTTTGTGTGTAAATAACACAAAGGTCTGCAGGTAGCAGGGGTACTCTGAAAATCAGTGAGGTGCTTTATGTACATTGCTTCCCATCCACTAGAACTGCTGCTGAGAGTTACGGACTAAGGGCTTCCTACCAAACACTAACGTCTCTTGTTTTATTCAAGGTGACTCCCATAAATTATAGAGTAAGTTTTGCTCTGGACTTGTTTTCTAGAGCTCAGGTTAAAATTAGGTAGCTTTTTATTTTTTTAGATGGTGACTATGAACATCACATCAGTGAGGAGTTTCAATTAGAGTCTTTTCTTTTTCTCTCTTTTTTATAAAGATTTATTTTATGTATGTGAGTACAGCGTCAATGTCTTCAGACACACCAGAAGAGCACATCTAACCATTTAAAATATATTTTATCTCCTTAAATTATAGCACAAAATAATCAAAAGTAATTCTTTCATGGTTTTGTTTTGGTCTCTGACGGCTCCTGCTGGCTTCAAACTCACTATAATGCCAAGGACAGGCTGAATGCTGACCCTCTAGCCTGCCACTCTCAACTGTGGGATGCCAGGCCTGACTCAGAATAATTCTTGTTATCCCAGTTAGGGGAAGCCGTGGCACAGATAGTTTATTACTTTCACTAGGTTTTTGGTTGGTTCTTTTTGTTTTGATTTTTGGTTTTTTTGTTTGTTTGTTTGTTTGTTTGTTTTTTAAGTTTTGTTACTGTTTTCAGATCTTTTGAAATCCATAAGATTTTCTTACTACAGGTGGTTGTGAGACACCAAGTGGTTAGTGGGAATTGAATTCAGGACCTCTGGAAAAGCAGCCAGTGATCTTAACTACTGAGCCATCTCTTCAGCACCAGTTTCTTATACTATGACAAAATACTGTACAAAGCAATGTAGGAAGGGTTTCTTTTGGCTCACAGATTGAGGGTACCATCCATCATGATAAGAAAGGCCTAGCAAGAGGAGGCTGTTAGCTCATATCTCGGCAGAGTAGAAAAAGATAAAAGTGTTCTTACTGCTTTTTCCTTTTCCCCTTTCTATTCAATCTGAGACTATAGCCACTGGGCTGGTCTAACCATTTAAAATATATTTTATCTCCTTAAATCATAGCACAAAATAATCAAAAGTAATTCTTTCATGGTTTTGTTTTGGTCTCTGACGGCTCCTGCTGGCCTCAAACTCACTATAATGCCAAGGACAGGCTGAATGCTGACCCTCTAGCCTGCCACTCTCAACTGTGGGATGCCAGGCCTGACTCAGAATAATTCTTGTTATCCCAGTTAGGGGAAGCCGTGGCACAGATAGTTTATTACTTTCACTAGGTTTTTGGTTGGTTCTTTTTGTTTTGATTTTTTTTTTAAGTTTTGTTACTGTTTTCAGATCTTTTGAAATCCATAACATTTTCTTCCTTAAGGGTGTGTGTGTGTGGGGGGATATCTCAAAATGAAGAGGACAAGGTTTGTTGATTGTATTAGTTGTCACAGAACCTCAGGAGTTCGCTTTGCCTCTGCCTCTATCTCTTTGAATGTCCACATCTGAGTCTGAGCAAGGTGACAGGTGATTCTGGATGTATGAGGAAAAAGCCAGTAGGATGTGAGGAATGAGAGTTCCTTGCTTCATAGAAAAATAGTTTTAAAAATAGAATCACATTTGTGAGACAAAAGGGGACCACAGCACTACTGAGAACCAGACTCCCCCGTCCCAGATGCTCTTTCTGTCCCTAATGTGTACCAACTTTATTCTCCCACTGTGGCCTTCTTTCTAACCTTGAGCAACATGGTCTCTGGCAGTTCCCAAGGTTATAAATCATGGCTTTTGTTGTAAGGAAGAGGCTGACTTGTTTTTCTACCCACTTCTACTTTGAAATAAAGTTTTAAAGACAGTGCTGTTTTGGCCTGTCTATAGCTGTGCCACCCCTGAGCTAATCATCTGAGTTCCAAACTTGGGTTCATGGATAGGAGTGATAGATGCTCCAGAATTCCATGACTACAAAAGGGAGAGGATCTATTCCAGATGGGTAGATGCTGCTCCCATGGGTGGGAAGAGGCAGGAAGCACTGCACCCACCAATATATCTGCACTAGGAGAATTATCCACTTTCTGAATGTAATAATGAGGACGGGTACCTTAATGTAAGGCAAAACAGATTCCCTGGGAATAATATTGGCCAAGTAAGGTCATGTGATATGAATACTTGGTAGGACAGATGTCTATCTGAATGACACAATCCATTTAATTTAGTCTAGGATAGTGGCATAATCTTTTAGTATTTCCAATACAAAGGAGAAAAAAATCACCTTCAAATTTGACTTTTCTCAATAAGAGTATATAGTGGGAATCTTTTTAAAAGTACTTTTATTAGTTCTTTGAGCATTTCATCAAGCATTATATTTTGACCACCAACTTCTTCCCCTAACCTCCTCCCAGACCTACCCCAAACCCCAAGCCCAATAACCCATTGACTGCAGTATGTGTTGGCTATGTATTCCTATGTGGGGAACCGTCCAGAGGAACATGGTGGACAAATCTTAAAGGTTTGTCCCTCCTCTAGAAGTCCTCAGCTCTCCACAGCTCCCCAGGTAAAGGTAGAAGCACAGTGGGAATCTTATACAAAATGCACACAGAGATGGGAGGGAACCAAAGTTTGCTGTAGGGGAATTTGTCTTTGATACCCAATCTCTGGCTCCTGGGATCAGGAGCAGGATCAGCCATTCTCAGATTGGTAACTGCTTGAGATTTCTGTTGAGCAGACATTTTAGCTGGTAGAGTCATTTGTATCATGTTTCCTTTACTTGGTCCCCATCTGATTTCCTTTTTTTTTTTTCTCAGACAAAGTCACTCATACAGCCCAGGCTGGCCTCACAGTGCCTCTGTATCCTAGACTGGCTTTAACCTCCCCAGTACTTACATTACAAGCATACACGTCCATGTCTGGCTTCCTAGCCTGATTTAAATTGGACTAAATCATTCTTATATCATCAAAATAAAAATTCTCTTAATGAGCCTCAGGAGGCTGACTTCACTGGACTGCAGTCATACGCTGTAACCCTGCTCTTGAGTAAAGCCAATGAAGCTTCAGCGGAAATGAAAGGCGTGTAAGGCCTGGGGATTTGCCTCCCTGACACCCTGCCATGGCTTCGTCTCTCAGCCAAGGGACAGAGCGGTCTTAAGGGAGCCATTTCCATTGAGCCATGCTGGGATCTAGTCCAAGCTCCCTTCCTGGATTGCTCAGGCCTAGGGTAGCATGCTTCCACTGGTGGAAGGGGACAACCCTATCGCTTGTAATTTCCTTTTCTTTCTCAGACCCCTCCAAAGGGGCCTTTCATTAAATCCTCTTAGAATTGTCCTAACGATGGTGTGCCCTGCTTCCTTAGCCCCTACCTGGTATAGGCATTGTGAATAGACACTAATAGATAATGTTAACTACTAAAAGAGAATCAGATAGCATTCTTGATTCCTCTGTAGTAATTCAATAATTATCCAGCCCCTAGATGCCAAGCCTCGGCACCGTGTGTATGCCCAGTAGTGGCGAGGGCAGATACTGGAACGATAACACAGATAATTCCAGGGATACCAGAGAGCAACCCACTTCTCTGAAGCCTTGATCTGAATACGAATGAAACATGGTTGAGAATATAAATTTTAAAGCCAGATGAACCTGGACATCTAGTCCCAGTTTTGTCACTGTGTAGTTCTGAGCTTACACCTCCATTTTCCCATCTGTGGAACATATATAACAGTGAGAGTCTCCTCAAAGATCTACTGAAAGATACTCTAAGGTAAATACGTGCTTATTACAACCCCTGACACACAGACTGTGGTCAGCAAAAGGTAACTAGTATTTGTGTAGTAATTTTTATCTATAAAATGTTTAAATCCATTAATCCCAGAAATTATCCCTATAAGCATTGAGTTAGACTCTGAGGAGCATAAAGCCCTGTCTTACTTACCATCGCTTTCCTCCTTTTTACATTTTTTGAACAGTTTATTATTTTTATTACATTTATTCCTGCGTGTGCTCGCAAGCACTGCCACGGCACCCCCACGGAGGCCACAGGACATTTGGAAGTTGGTTCTCTCCTTCCTTCTCGTGGGTCTCAGGGATTGAACTTAAATCATCAGGCTTGTCAGCAAGCATCCTTATCTTCTGAGCCACCTCACTGGCCCCCATCTTACTTCTATTGCACTGGAGAGAATTGCAGGTATGCCTCACCTGTTTTCAGGTATCCAGGACAGCAAAAGTGTGTCTCGACTAAGTAACAAGTATTTTGTACCTGGGGTGAGGTTTAAGAGAGAAAGTGCCTGGAAAAGACATTTGAGCCAGAATTGAATCTTGAGTGGACATGTCTTAAATGAGCAGATGGGAGGACAGTGCTTCATTTGAAAGCGTGAACAAGGGTAAAGACAGACAAGTATCTTTATATGACAGATGGGGCCCGTGAGACTACAGCAGCATGCACACGGGGACCTATGATGGCTGGGAAAAGGCCAGAGGACTGGCACGCACACAATCATACACCCCCCATAAGGAGAATGCCATTTTAAGATCTAGGTTCTCCAAGCAAGTTTTCTGGCTGCAGTAGGAGGGATCAGAGCAGCGTGGGTGGAGTGTAAACACCAAGGAGGAGCCAATTGGAAAGGTGCTGGCACTTCAAAGTCAGCAGCCACCAACACTGGAAAGTGAAGGAGAAGCTTGTGGTGTGAACCTCAGCAGAACTCATTGCATTCCCAAGGGAGCCTGGTAAATTCTGAGTTTATTAACACCCCAACCCCCATTGTCTCCAGAAAGTCTGACCCTAATTGTGACTTCTATTTTCCTTAGCTGGAGTTCACCCAGATGGCTGAAGAGTTGGTGGGTATGATTAGAAATGACTTATAAAGAAATTCCATGTGCATTTCTAGGTCCCACCAAACCTTTCCCCGTGGCCACTGTCAATCGTATTTTGGAAGATGTACTAACTACCTACCTACAAGAAGCACAATATGAACCGGAGTTCTGCAGACAAATGACTAAAACAATTTCTGAGGTATAGTGCAATTTACCCAGTGTTAGCTATGACCACAATATTTGCTGGAAGACAGCCCATCTTCTGCTTTGTAAGAAAAGAATTCATTTTCAGGATCAGTTCAATGGCACACTTATATTTTATAGAAATAATTAGATCATACACTACATCTGTGCATTGGTACATGTGTACATGATAAGCCTCTGTCTAAAGCTATCATTATGTGTGTGATTTTTAACAAATCTATTGCTTGTATACAATTGCTCTTTTCTAAAAAAGATTTATGCAGATTTTTTATTGTGTATGTCTGTGTCTGTGTGTGTGTGTGTGCACATACATACAAAGTGTGCATGCCACATGTGTGTGCAAGTGCTAGAAGAAACAGATCCCTGGAGTTAGAATTACAAGCAGTTATGAGCTGCCTGCTGGGAATTCTGGGAATGGATCTGTAAGAGCAGAAAGTGCTCACAATAGCTGAGGCATCTCTCCAGGTCCAGGCTGCTTAAAAAATAAAAATCATTGTATTCATTTGTATGATGTGTATGTATGGTATGTGTGCATGCTTCTGTATGTGAATGTGGGCATGCATATACCATTGCATGCATGTGCCATTGCATACATGTAGGGGTCAGAGGACAACCTTTTGTGTTAGCCTTCACTTTTCACCTTGTTTAAGAGTCTCTGCTGTTCACAACATATACCAAGTTAGCTGGGGATTGTCCTGTGTCTGCCCCATTTCCCTACAGTTATGCTGTGATCATAAATGCCCACTGTCATACCTGACTTTTGGGTTTGTGGGACTTGAACTCAGGTTCTCACACTTGTATGGGTCCTTTACCCATGAGCCATCACCTCACCCAAAAACTCTTTCCCTTATTTTTGGTAAATACACATTTTAAGGGCTGTTTTCTCCTTGCCACAGAAACTTTTTTTGAGTGCTAGCGATTATAGATATGGTGGGCTTTAAATACAGCTCCATGTTTTATCAACTAACATGTATTTTATGATAGTTTCTTCTACTTTGGTTTTTATATAAAACTCTGGGACAAATGTTTATGTCTATTATATTGAGGGAGATTTTGGAATATCCTTCCCTCATTAGTCATGAAAGCAAAAACATAGCCCTAGTCATGGCATTCTTTAAAGGGAAGCCATCTTTTACAGACTTTCAAAAGATGTAATAATCCCTTGAATTCTGTTCTGTAGATGACAAGCTTTCTGTACGTCTTAGAAAATGCTGGCTTATTGCTAATGTTTTTATTTTGTTCCTGGATTCCTACCCCACAAGGATAGTAGTTGAACGAAAGTTTACTTACGTGTGGTTCTGTGAGATACTGAAAGTGTCTACAGTGAACTGTGCTAATTTCTTTAAACATTTTTAATTCATACTTTTTAAAGTTAGCCTACGAAGGGATGAGCTTCATATGGTATTTTTACACACACTCACCTCTCCCGTTGTCCTCTCCCTCCTCCCTGCCCTCCTCCTCTTGCTCCCCTCCATCCCTCCCAAATTACTCTCCCTTCAACTTTTATATCATATACTGTGTTTAACAATTTTGAGATTTAATGTGACTAAATAACTCCCCCCCTTTTTTTTTATCAATTTCTAGGTTATTAAGACCCAGGTCAAGGAATTAGTGATTCCGAGGTATAAACTAATTGTGATGGTTTACATCGGACAACGGGATGATCAGAGTATACTTATTGGCAGCAGATGCCTCTGGAATCCTAAAAGTGATACCATCTCGTCCTACACTTTCAAAAATTCTACTCTCTTTGCGCTTGCAAATGTCTATGCAGTTTACTTTGAGTGACTGAAAATGGTCCTCATGTGTTAAAATCATGAAACAGGCTGTGTGTCTCTATTTACAAAAGTTCTACTGACAAAACCTGTGGGAAAGAGACAAGATGAAGATTTCAAACAACTGGAAGCTTCCACCATTCTTGTGAGGACTGGTGGAGGGGGGAGGGGAGCCTAATAAAAAGGTCTTGTTTATTCAAAGCAGAAGTCAGTTCACATAAACATAGATGCCAACGAAATATCACTTTGGATGATGATTATTTTGATTTCTCTTTTAATTGGAGAGCTAGAATTTCCTGGACAACTTTTTGATAAAATTCTAGAAATATATGGCAACATGCTCTGGATGTATATCATATAGGGTAGGATAATTCAACATGACACACAAAAATGGTGACTTAATAGGCTTCAGTACTGCATATAAAATAATACTGGTTTTCATTATACATTTAATAAATTGAGCAGCATTCATTAGTTGCAATTACTGTTACATGTACCTGACAGTTGAAAGTACTGACATAGAATTAATGATTTCGTAATAATTACCATGGTCCCTTGGGGCCACTGGCTAAATCTAGACACTCTTGTGGGTTGCCTGCACTTTACAAAATTACAAGAGAACTGAACATTGACTCTTCAATAATGGAAACTATAAATGGATACAGGCTTTTAAGGACACTAAAGTAGACATTGTGCTATTAAATATACATGATGCGTAATAGTCAATGTGCCTGTAGCACCTAATATCATGCATTGGGAAGAGACACTGCCCTTAAATACACATTGCCCATGTGCTTGTGACTAGTTTTTCCTGACCTACCTTTTACCCAGAATACAAAACTGGCAGCTTAACAAATAAAACATGTGTGTTTGCCATTTTGTTCCTATGAATTGAGCCCTAAAGTGACCCAGTGAGGGTTTTGAATGTATGGGCATTGACGTTTACAGGGCTGAAATAGCTCTTCTGCTGGCTGATGCCTCTTGTAGCATAGATCATTTATTTTTATGGGGCTTTCAAGTCTTTGTGTGCATGTGAAATGACGCTGTGCCATTGCTCTAGGATGACGAGTCATCTGCCTAGAGGACATTTGTTAAAGGTCAAACACAAATTGCTCACATATGGAGAGAATTAGTAATGTTATAATCTTAAGGGGAAATTGCACATAATTCGTATCAGAAAGATTATAGCAGATGAAAAACCCAGTCAATGCTTCACAATTTTAAAATGTTTTGATGTCTTACTTTTCACTAAAACCAAATGTAGTTTTTAAATGGATTCCTGGGCTTTTTCTGATAGTGCTTGGGGGGGGGGGCTCTATGTAGAATAATGACCATATCCAGGACTTGCCTGTCTCCAAACCCCAGTTTTGCATCTGGATTTGATTATCAGAGGAGGAAGCAATGCGCAGTACGCTTTTGTCAACGGTTTCTTTCTCAGACAATGGCCATGAAATCACACAGCAGCTTGGGAGGAATGAGTCAAATGAAAAAACAGCACTACCTACAGAAAGTCTGCTGTTGAGAGAACTTCCTTTCAGAGTTCTAACTTCTAGTCAGAATAATTTCTCACCCTTCCTCCTGGGTTGTGTTGGTCAGAAAAACCTTAAAATACAAAGGCACTTAAAGATGGGATAGGTAGTTAGCAGGCCTGTTAGCATGTGCTGTACCTGGGATTTCAGAGACACGCTCCAGCAGTGGCATCAGCATAGGAATACAGAGTAAGAGCTCACCCAGCACAACTCATTTTCAGGAGAGTTCAGCACTCAAAGCCTCAAGACAAAGAAACAGTTCCCCCTCCATGAATGTCTACCTTCCCACTCTCCCCACTGTAGAACACCCTGTGTCCTTTTTCTGCAAACTCAGATCTCACCTACTCCACGGATCCTTCTCCATCCATCTCCTCCATCTCCTCCCTCCCAGACCCCTCCTTTGATCACTCTTTGATCATCTCTTGGTTGTTCTCTAGCTTTTAAGTTTTATTCTCCCAAGCTGAAGAAACTAAGAGCACAGACCATCCAACAATGAAATCTAATTCATTACACACAAGCAAGACTCATATGTACTGTGCTACCCAACTCCCAAAAACTGTCCAGAAAAATAGCAATGCGGATCTGAACCCTTGAGGACTAGGGTCTTAGGGAAATGGCAGCAGGACATATCTGTACTCCAGAACTTCAGATGTAGAGACAGGAAGATTCCCATGTGGAGACAGCACAGATTAGAACATGTTATCCCAAGAAAATTCCAGAATGTCTTTATCCAGTGAAAGAACTTGTGGGAGGTTTTGTGGAAGGAAATAATGACTTCCTCTAGAGTTTGACAGAAGCAAAGAGAATTTCAAAAGATAGGAGAATAGAGGAAGAAATTTACAAGGGATAAGAGGTCACACAAAGAAGGGTGCTATCTCTTAAGGAAGTGCACTCAGACCATAGGGAGCTAGTAGTAGCTTTTCTCTAAGTGAATAGCATTAAGTGACTCTAAGAAGACATGTCATATGGGGCATGCAGGAATAAGGTCTACATGATTAGGCAAAAGGAGGCTAAAGCAATGAATTCACAGAGCAATTGACATTTCAAGTCCTGGAAGACTTAGGTGTGATCCCCAGGGTCCCAGGCACCTTAAACACATTACCGGTTTTACAAAGCAGCAGCTTTCCCTTGATGTGGTAATGATAATGCTGGTGCTACTGGCTCAGGGTTTTGTAGGATTAACTACATGCCTGCTGAATGGTTCACAGCTTAATGTCTAAGAGAAGTACTTGTGGTCACAGCTGAAAGTCTGAGCGTCTGGAGCCAAATGCATGGTGCTGTTCACAGGAAGAAGCCATCAGCAGAAAGAGTTTGTAGAGTAAAACCCTAGGTTTGACGTTGCACTCTCTTTTAAGTTGATTATGGGACATTTTGGCTACAGGCAGCTGAAAGCTGAGCTAGAACATCAAAGGAAGAGATTTAGTCTTGGCAGCCGTCCCAAAAAAAAAAAAAAAAAAAAAAAAATGAGACCTCCCTCCTCCCTCCTGTCTTATAAAATATTCATTACCCAACTCTCCAGCAAGTATAGTCAGAACTAAACAGCCAGTTACTGGCTCTAGGAAGCCAACCAGAAACCTCCCCAAACCAACAGAGTTCTACTGATTATGTGCTGTCACCTTCTTCTTCCTCTTCTTCTTCCTCCTCCTTCCTCCTCTCCCCTCTTCCTCCTCCTCCTCCTCCTCTTCCTCTTCTCCCCCTCTTCTTTTTCTTCCTCATCCTCTTTTTTTCCTTCACTGAAACAATTTCTTATATCATCCCTCTCTGTTGTTAGAAATCAAAAGAAGTGTAAAGTTTCCCTCAAAAAAAAAAAAAAAAAAGCAGCTAGCACTTCAGTGCATGTGATCAGCTCCAGCCATTGTTCATTAGGTAATGTTTTCAGAAAGTGCATAGTAGGAGGTTAGAGTTTAGCAGATAGTGAGTTCAAAAATTAAACACTAGGTCAATGTATTCTTTTTTTTTAAGTCAGGAGAATTAGCTAATATGTGGGAGTGATATTTTTAAAAAGTCAACAAATTAGACATTTACAAACTAACACTCTTAAAGAATGAGCACTTTTCTTCTTGGGACATCATCTGACCTGTCTATCTAGATGCTCTAAAAAAAATTGATAGAATGCAACACCAACCAGTCATTTGTTTTCCATCCTTAGTCTCTATGATGCTCTCCCAGTCAGCAATCTGGTCCTCACCCACCAATCTGGGGCTTTCGTGAACACTCAAAATGCTCTCCCAGGGCAAATATGCAGACCACTTCACCCACAAGACACCTCAGCTCTTTTGAAGACCTTCCTTCTGAGGGGCCATGTAATGTAGTTTAAGGGAAGGAGTGGTGCTTTCTTCCTCTTCGTTTCAAGTGTAAGTTTGTCTTCAAACCTTCTACAGCTTCCAACCCTTAAGGGTTATGTGAGTTTGGCAAGCACCCAATGCCTTCAGCCTGTTTCCTGAAAAGTGAAATAGGCCATGATCATGTTCTCATGAAGACAGTATATGTAAAATAGCTGAACCAGGGCTGAAGATATGGCTCAGTGATTAAGAGCACTGCCTACTCTTCTAGAGGACCTGGGTTTGATTCCTAACACCCACATGAGAGCTAACAGTTGTCTGTAACCATAATTCTCAGAGATCCAATACTCTCTTCTGGTGTCCTTGGGCACCAGGCACCTGTGGTGCACACACATGCAGGCAAAACACCAATACACACAAGAACATTTTCTTTTAATTTTTGAGAGAAAATTAAGATAGTTCAACCAAACAGGATGTGATAGGGCACACTTGTAATTCCAACACTTGGGAGGTGGAGGCAGAAGGATTGGGAGTTCGAAACTAGCCTCAGATACACAGAAATTGGACACCAGCCTAAGCTAGATGAGACTATGATGATGATTATGATGATGATAATAATTAATAATAAATTTTAAAAGCTGATCTCTTATAGAAACTTTCTTTCAACCTCTAATTTTCCCAATATGTGTTTGCTAAAGGTGGTATGCTGGAGAAAGTCTCTAAACCCGAAACTCTAAAGGCTGAGACTGTGGAATCTGGAGTTCCAGGCCACATTTAGCTACATAATTAGACACAGTCTCAAAAGACCACGGGCTGGGGATAAAGCTCAGTCAGAGCACTTGCCTAGTGGCTCAAGGCCCTGGGTTTAATACGTAGTACAGTAAAAAGAAAAAGGAGAAAGAAAGGTGGGATTCAGCAGGTACTTCTGTGTTGTAGAAATTTTTAATCCCCATCCAGGCTTTCTACCCTGTCCTTGATGATTCAGTTCCTGGATAAAAGACATACATGATTTCTATATTTACAATAAGCCTTAAACAGCACATGAGCTGGGTAGATATCTACCCTCTATGCTATTAGAATCCACTTTCCTATTGATAACCCCAAATACTATGTTTCATCTGGGCTGCTCTTAACTCTAATTGGCCAGCAGCCCTCAGGGCCACGTTTTCATGACTCACCTAACCATGGCGACTTCTCCTCCATTCCCTCTTCACTCTCTTCTTCCCCTCTGACTCCAAGCCCAGGAATCCTCAAACCTGTCTATGTCTCTTCTGCCCAGCACTTGGCTGTCAGCATCTTTATTTACCAATCAGAAATAACTGGGGAGTAAGGACACATAGCTTCACTTGGGTCTGTGAGCACTCACTCTCTTGTCCCTGGGGCAACGCACTTAGTATTACAATATACAGCAAAAGACCAAACCTCAACGCTTCTGCAATTTCTTCTCATCACCATAATATGCCTGTGCATTTCTTTCTAATTTGAAGTACTCAATCTACCGTCTATCAGTGGCATTTAAAAAAAAAATCCACATCTTTCATGACACTATCTGTTCCCAAATTCTGCTTCCAGGGCTATGTCTATTTGTTCTCATGCATCTTTCATGCAGAGGGCCAGGCCCACATCAGGACTTTTGTGGTTCCTGACAGTGATGTTGCTTAGCACTGCCCGTTCCTTGCTTCCCTCATACCCATTTGGATTTATGAGTTCATTCACAAATGAGCAAACCTCAGGAGGGTGAACTGAGACCTAAGTATGCTGAAAGTCTCGCTAAAGTCTGGTGTAGCTTTCAGCTTCTTCTTTACCAGCTCAACTACCCTGCAGGTTTTTTTCTCTTTTAAATGCAGGCTCTAACTTGAAACCTGTGGTTCTTCATCCACCACCAACTTATTTTCATACCTACCAAGGCAAGAAGCCAGTATGACCAGAATGGAGAGTCCCTGGCTTCCCTTTGCACATGAGATAATAACTGATGTTCCCAGCAAATGACGGTGATGGAACATCTAACTAGAAAATGTGCCACATACTTGGTCTGATTTTGATTTGTGGATCCTGGGAAATCACTTTATAAATTTATATAAGGTAAATCATTTTGAAACGAAAGAAAAAGACAGTATATCTGCTAATTAATTATACAAATACATTCTCTTTAGTTCCCTTCACTTTGAGAGTATAGATTTAAAATTGTATGGAAACATAGCTAAACTGCTTGCTGGCATCTCAGTTCACAAACACAAGTAAAAGTCGCAAAGGAGTCACTCATTTAATGACGTAGAGTCTAGAATTTAAGATGAGACATTTCCTAATCCGTATGATGGGGCTAACTCAGTCTGAGACGGGATTCATGTAAGGACACTATAAGGAGATAATGACAAATGCTTATTATTAAAAATATGCTTTGTGGGACTGGAGAGATGGCTCTGTTAGGAGCAC